CCCAAGGCATCATTATTTTTTTTTAATTATCTTAAAAATTAATTAATCCAGGGGTGCCTGGGTGGCTCAGTCAGTTAAGCATCTGCCTTCAGCTCAGGTCCTGATCTCAGGGTCCTGGGATCCAGCCCGCATTGGGCTCCCTGCTCAGCAGGGAGTCTACTTCTCCCTCTCCCTCTGCTCCTCCCCCTGCTCATGCTCTTTCTCTCTACCTCTCAAATAAATAAATAATATCTTTTAAAAAATTAATTAATCCAATTCTGCTTTCAGTGTGCCTGCGTCCTGGCTTCTGAGTATCACTAGAGAAAAGCACACAACTGAGAAGATGAGGACCAAAGAAATGGAAAACAAATGTTCAATAAAATCTACAAAGCCAAAAATTGGTTCTTTGGAAAGACCACTAAAATTGATTTAAAAAAATGTAGCAAGAAAGATGAGAGAGAGAGAAAACATATAACTACTATTAGGAATACAAATGGAAGCATTACTACAGATCCTATAGATGTTAAAAAGATAAGAGGGTATTACAAACAACTTAATGTCAACATTTGAAGATTTAGATAATGTGAGAAATTCCTTTAAAAGCACAACTTATGAAAAATGTCACTGGAACACCCAAAAATGTCATAAAAATATTCTGATTTTTGAGATCACAATAGGCCTATGTATCTGTTAAAAGAAATTGAATCTTTAATTTAAAATCTTCCACAAAGAAAACTCCAGACCCAGATGACTTCACTGGGGAATTCTTCCAAACATTTAAAGAAGAAATAATACCATTTTACACAAATTCAACAAATAGAGGGAAAAAAAAGAACATTTTCCAACTCATTTTATGAGACTTGACTAACCTTGATACCAAAACCTGGCAAGGATAGTACAAGAAAGGAGAATTACAGCCAATATCTCTCATAAACATAGATGCAAAATCCAACACAAAAATGCCAAATCAAATTTAGTAATTTTTTAAAAGGCAATTCATAGTAAAGACCAGATGCAGTTTTGTCCAGCAATGAAGGTTGATTTAATGTTCCAAAATCAACCAATGTAACTACCCACATTAACAAAATTAAGTAGACAAACTATCTGACATTTTAATAGAAATAGAAAAAGCTTTTGATAAAATTGAATACCCATTCTTGAGAAAACTAGAATAAAAGGGAATTTGACAAAGGATCTCTCAAAAAAAAAATTTACAGTTGGGATGCCTGGATAGCTCAGTTAAGCCTCTGACTCTTGATTTCAGCTCAGGTCATGATTTCAGGGTCATGAGATCCAGTCCCACACTGGGCTCCATACTGGGCATGGAGCCTGCTTAAGATTCTCTCTCTCACTCTCCCTCTGCCCCTTCCCCCATCTCTCTCTCTCCCTTAAAAATCAAAAACTTATAGTTGACATTATATTTAATATTGCAATATCGAGTGCTTTCCCCCTATATTAGGCACAAATATCCTTGCAGCCTTGGGGTAGGCACAAATATATTAGGACAAAAAAGTACTAGCCATACAAGAAAAAAGTGATAAAGTGGACTTAATTAATATTACAAATTTCTGCACATCAAATAATACCCTTACAAGATGAAAAAGTAAACTACACCTGATACAGAACCTATACACAGAATAAGTGAATAACTTCTATAATCCAATAATAGAAAGACAAGCAATCCAATTTTTTAATAGGCAGAAGACTTGAAGAGACAAAAGATATTGAAATGGAAATAAGCAAATGGAATGGAATAGAAATAAGTAAATGAGGGGCACCTGGCTGGCTTAGTCAGTAGAGCATGCGACTCTTGATCTCAGGGCTGTGAGTTCGAGCCCCACGTTGGGTGTAGAGATTACTTAAAAAATAAAATAAAATCTTTACCAAAAAAAAAGGAAATGAGCAAATGAAAAGATGTTCAACATCATCAGTCACCAGTGAAATTCAAATTAAAACCACAACAGAATGCACAACAGAATGACTACAATCGAAGTTTGAAAATATTACACACTGGGGCGCCTGGGTGGCTCAGTTGGTTAAGCGACTGCCTTCGGCTCAGGTCATGATCCTGGAGTCCCAGGATCGAGTCCC